CAAATTGGAGCACCCAAATACATAAAGCACATATTAACAAATATAAAGGGAAAAAAAATTAACAGTCATACGATAATAGTAGGGGACTTTACCACCTCACTTAAATCAATGGATAGACCATCCAGACAGAAAATCTAGAGGAAATAGTGCCTTTGAATGACACAACAGACCAAATATATACAGATATATACAGATCATTCCATCCAAAGCCAGCAGAATACACATTCTTTTCAATTGCACATGGAACATTCTCCATGGTAGATCACGTTAGGCCATAAAACAAGTCTCAATAAATTTAAGAGGCATAGTATCATATCGAGCAACTTTTCTAACCATAATGATATGAAAATGAAAATCAACTGCAAGAAAATCTGGAAAAAACAAACATATGGAGGCTAAACAAAATGCTACTAACCAACCAATGGGTTCAACCAAGAAATCAAAGAGGAAATAAAAAAAAAAATGGAGACAAATGAAAATAAAAACATAATAGTCCAAAATCTTTGGGACATGGGGTGCCTGGGTGGCTCAGTCAGTTAAGCGTCTGCCTTCGGCACAGGTCATGATCCCAGGGTCCTGGGATTTAGCCCCACATCCAGCTCCCTGCTCAGTGGGGAGTCTGCTTCTCCCTCTGCCACTCCCCCTGCTTATGCTCTCTTGTGTGCACTCTCTCTGTCAATTAAATAAATAAAATCTTTAAAAAAAAATCTTTGGGACACAGCAAAAGCAGTTGTAAGAGAGAAGTTTATAACAATACAGGCCTACCTAAAGAAATAAGAAAAACCTCAAACAACCTAATCTTATAATTAAAGGAGCTAGAAAATGAAGAACAAACAAAGCTGAAAGCCAGTAGAAGAGAGGAAATAATAAAGATTAGAGAGAAATAAATAAAATAGAGACAAAAAATCCACACACAATAGAAAAGATCAATTAAACCAGGAGCTGGTTCTTTCTTTCTTTTTTTTTTTTTTTAAAGATTTTATTTATTTATTTGACAGAGAGAGAGAGAGAACACAGCAGGGGGGAGTGGCAGAGGGAGAGGGAAAAGCAGGTTCCCTGCTCAGCAGGGAGCCTGACTCGGGGCTTGACTCCAGGACCCTGGGATCATGACCTGAGTTGAAGGCAGATGCTTAACCAACTGAGCCATCCAGGTGCCCCAGAACTGGTTCTTTAAAAAGATAAACAAAACTGATAAACTTTTAGCCAGACTCATCAAGGGAAAAAGAGGGACGACTCAAACAAAATCAGAAATGAAGAAAAAATAACAACACCACAGAAATACAAAGGATTATAAGAGAATATTATGAAAAATTATATGCTAACCAATTGGACAACCTGGAAAAAAATGGATACATTTCTAGAAACATAATCCTCCACAACTGATTTAGGAAGATAGAAAATTTGAACAGATCTGTTACTAGTAATGGAATTGATTCAGTAGTCAAAAACTCCTAACAAACAAAACTCCACACCAGACAGCTTCATAGGCAAATTCTACCAAATATTTAAAGAAGAGTTAAACCTTTTCTTAAATGATTCTAAAAAATAGAAGAGGAATGAAAATTCTAAATTCATTCTATGAGGCCAGCATTAATGTGATACCAAAAGTAGACAAAGACACTACAAAAAAAATTTATGGGCCAATATCTCTGATGAACATAGATGCAAGAATCCTTAAACAAAACATTGGCAAACCACATTCAATAATACATTAAAAGCATGACTCACCGTGATCAAGTTAAATTTATTCCAGGGATGCAAGGATGGTTGGTATTTGCAAATCAATCAATAAGATACATCACATTAACAAGAAAAAGGATAAAAACCATATGACCATCTCAATACATGCAGAAAAACATTTGACAAAATACAACATCCATTCCTCATAAAAATTCTCAACAAAGTGAGTTTAGAGGGAACATACCTCAACATAATAAAGATCATATATAAAAAACCCACAGCTAACATCATACTCAGTGGTGAAAATCTGAGAGCTTTTACTCTAAGATCAGGAAGAAGAGAAGGGTGTCCACACTTGCCACTTTTATTCAACATAGTACTGGAAATCCTAGCTGCAGCATTCAGACAAGAAAAAGAAAACACATCTAAATTGGTAAGGGAGAAGTAAAACGGTCATTATTCGCAGATCCATGAGACTATATATAGAAAACCCTAAAGACCCCATCAAAAAACTACTAGAATGGATAAATGAATTCAGTAAAGTTGTGGGATAAATAATTAATATACAAAAATCTGTTGCATTTCTATACACTAATAATGAAGAAGCAGAAAGAGAAATTTAAAAACAATCCTACTTACAATTGCATCAAAAAGAATAAAATACCTAGGAATAAACTGAACCAAGGTGATGAAAACTATAACACATGATAAAAGAAAGATGACAGAAACAAATGGAGATATTCCATGCTCATAATTTGAAAGAATATCATTAAAATGTCCATACTACCCAAAGCAATCTTCACATTTAACTCAATCTCTATTAAAATACCAACAGCATTTTTCACAAAATTAGAAGAATCCTAAAATTTGCATGGAACCACAAAAGACCCCAAATAGCCAAAGCAATCCTCTTTTAAAGATTTATTTATTTATACTGGAAAGAGAGAGACTGGTGGGGAGGGGCAGAGGGAGAGAGAGAATATCAAGCAGACTCCCTGCTAAGCATGGAGCCCCATGCAGGGCTCAATCCCCCAACCCTGAGATCACAACCTGAGCTGAAACCAAGAGTCAGATGCTTAACTGACTGTGCCATCCAGGGACACCCCCAAAGCAATCTTGAGAAAGAAAAACAAAGCTGGAGGTATCTCATCAATTCCAGATTTCACGATATACTACAAAGCTGTAATAATCAAAACAATATGGTACTAGCAAAAACAAAACAAAACAAAAACAAACAAACAAACAAAAAACCCAGACACATAACCTAGTCCAACAGAACAGATAGAATGCCCAGAAATAAACCCATGCTTATGTGGTCAATTAATCTACAACAAAGGCAAGAATATGCAATGGGAAAAAGGCAGTCTCTTCAAAAATGGTGCTATGAAAACTGGACAGCTACATGTAAAAAAGTGAAATTAGACCACTTTCTTACACCATACACACAAATAAACTCAAATTAAAGACCTAAATGCAAAACCTGGAACCATAAAACATCTGGAAGAAAACATAGGCAGTAATTTCTTTGACATCTGCTGTAGAAACAGTTTTCTAGATATATCTCCTCCAGTGAGGGAAACAAAAGCAAGAATAAACTACTGGGACTACACCAAAATAAAAAGGTTTTGTGACAGTGAAGGAAACAATCAACAAAATGACAAGGCAACTTACTGAATGGGAGGAGATATTTGCAAATGATATATCTGATAAAAGGCTAATATCCAAAATACTTAAATAACTTACACAAATTAACATCAAAGAACCCCCCAAAAAATCTGATTAAAAATGGGCAGAGGACTTGAATAGACCTTTTTCCAAAGAAGACCTACAAATAGCCAATAGAAACATGATAAGATGCCCAACATCACAAATCATTAGGGAAATGCAGATCAAAACTACAATGAGATGTCACCTTACACTTGTCAGAATGACTAGAACAAAAAAGAAAAGAAATAACAAGTGTTGGCAAGAATGTGGAGGAAAAGAGACCCTAGTGCACTGTTGGTGGGAATGTAAATTGGTGCAGCCACCATAGAAAACAGTATGAAGGTTTTCCAAAGAATTAATAGAAATACCATATGATCCAGTAGTCCTACTACTGGGTATTTACCAAGAGATATGCACCCTATGTTTATTGCAGCATTATTCCCAATAGCCAAGGTATAGAAGCAACCTATATCTATCTATCGATCTATCTACCAGATATTATTCAGCCATAAAAACTAATGAGTTATTGCCATTTGTGACAACATGGATGGGACTGGAGGGTATTATCCTAAGTGAAATAGGTCAGACAGACAAATACCATATAATTTCACTGACATGTGGAATCTAACAAACAAAACAAACAAAGAAACAAAAATAATAAACTCATAAATACAGAGAACAAGTTGGTGATTGCCAAAGGGGAAACAATGGGCTAGGTAGTTATATCTGTTTTATCACTTTAGGGGATTAAGAGCTATAAACTTTCAGTTATGAAATATGTAAGTCATGGGGATGAAAAGTACAGCACAGGGAACATAGTGAATAATACTGAAATAATACTGTAATGCAACAGATGGTGATTACACTTAATTGTGGTGAGCACTGAGTAATGTATAGAATTGTTGAATCAATATGTTGTACACCTGAAACTAATATAACATTGTGTTAGATATACTTTAATTAAAAAAGGAATAAAGTGAGGGAAAATCAGTTTTATGCCTATCATCATTTACAATGAAAATGTGTAGCAAGAAGACAGTGTTAATCAATTTCATCTACTTTTACTGTCCATGTAATGGAGTTGAGATCACCACTCTAACAGCAGTATTTTATATTTGTTACCATTGCCTACAACATAACAAGGAAGAAAAGAAAATGAAAGAAGGCCTCCATCTTCTCTACCCTCCAGATCCTGCTCTTCTGTATTATTGCTGCAATAGTTCAATAATACTTTTATCATGTACCATTTTCCTTTAGTCAATAGTCTAGCAGATGGCCATATAGTACACTGTACAAATTTTCATAACAATTGTGTTTGCTTAGGTTAACAGCAGAAACGTGATCCATTTTATGTGTCCTGAGTCTCCAAATGCATCTTTCCAAACATCAGGCGTTGCCTTTAAAATAAGTTACAGTTTTGTGTTTCTTAAACTCTCCTGGTTTAGTTTTCATTATTGAACCAATTACCTTTCTACAATTCTAGCATAACAATATTCCACATAAAGAATATTTATCATCTAACATATACTGTCAGTTATCTATAACATCTTCCTGTATTTTAATTGTAATGAATAGAGTATAAAAATAGTGTTAGTCTGTAATGAACAACTTACTTGCTTTGTGTCAGATCAACTACAATGAGATCTTTTTCCAGAAGTACTACAACAGCATAAGGTTCTTGAAATTCTACAAGTAAAAAATAAAAAGTGGAAGTTTTCATATTTCATATTTTATAAAATCACCAAATTTTCATTTCCTTTATCTCCTTACAAATGTTATTTAAATGATTTCAGAAGACCAAAATATGAGCCAACATAAGAAGTAACAAAGAGCACTTTTAAAAGTAATGTTGTGTTTCTCAGACTTAATATTTAAGATCATTATAGGGAATATGAAAATGAAAAGTTGAATAGGCATAGAGTTAAACATTTCTCAATAATCATGAGGTGGTGATACCAGATTATTTGAAGAGAGTCTGTCACCTCTGTCTCACAAACATTTATCTTATTCTTCCATAACCTTCCATTTTAGATCTGATTTTATAGGTACAAGGAGATGTTCTAAGGAAATAGTAGTTCTGCCTTCCTGAGCTGTGATACATTTTTACCTCCCTATGAGAGCAACACTCCTTATACCAAAAAATTTAATTTCAATTCAATGTGATTTAACATGTACTTAAAGATATGTCCCTAAGAGTATATACCTCAAAAAGGCAAGGAATCTGAGGATAGTCTAGGATTTTCAAATTCCTACACTTTAACCGCCCCCCTCCTCCTTTCAATATGTTCTAGCAACTATTCTCAGAACAAAGGATGTATGGAAAATAAAATTGACAAGGTCCTTATTCTCATGGAGTTTACATCCTAGGGATGTATACAAACCATGAAGAAGTAAACAAATAAGATAAATTCACAGAATAATGTGAGCTATGAAAAGAATTATCAAAGGTAATAGTATAAGAAATGACTTGTGGTTGGTGGGAGAGCACTGATTTAGTTATTGTGGTCAGGGAAGACACTGCTTTCCATCTATAATAGGGAATAATAAAGGAAAGGCGCAGTTAAAAGTGTTCTCAATTTAAGGAAAAAGTATTCACAAAAACATCTTACATACATGATATTTGATTCTCAGTAACTAGAACAGGTATTACTATTTTTCATTTCATAGAGAAAACTGAAGTCCAAAGAGATTGTGAGATTGGCACAAATTTACAAAGCTGGTTAATTGAAAAAGCTGGAACTTTAACCCAGGCCTTCTGATTCTAAATTCTCATGTGTTTTCATTATTCCAGCAGTTTCTACTAGCTACCTTAAGTAAAATTCAACAATCACTTGGTGGGAATTTTATTCAGAGTATTCAAGTCTTAGGTGGGAAACTGGAAAAGATGGCCTTCATAGTCCTTCACAGGCCTTTATAGTCTTGAGAAGCTGTAGAACCTATTCATATAAGTCACATGCTACAAGAGAAAAACTGGAAACAGAAACCCCAAAACTGAGGAGCATACCCTTGTTTGGGTGCATGTCTATGTGACAGTATGCAGTCTTCATACTGTTTGCCATCTAATCTGTTCTCAAATTGAGGCTTCCTCCACTTTTCCCTTATCTCTTAGAGCTGTTTTAAGTTTTCAACATTATTTCAGTACTTCTGAATTTAGGGTTTTTAGGGTTTGGTTTTTTTTTTTTTTTTTGGTTTAGTTTTCAGTTGAAGGAACACTGGAGTTCTATACTATTATATTTTTTCTTTGTCTTCTCTCCAGGGCAATCATTGATTGGGAAGCAACTACTACAAAAATAAAATAGCTGAGACACTGGCATGAATAAGCAAAATTCATAGTCATTTTAGGTAGTTATATCTATTTTATCACTTTAGGTAGGTACATCTGTTAGATTATTATTGTTTCTTTTCAAGTAATAAAAACTGGTAGCAAAAGTTTCACCTTTGTAGAAATACCTGATGTACTGTAGTAATCTCTGAATAAAAAGATTTCCTTAGAAGTCAGTCAGTATTAGGTTCAATTTTGTGTCTATTATTTATTAACAGTTTGCTCTTAAGTAAATTCATTAACTTATTAGCTCAATTATATTAATTCAATTTCTTTATCCATTGGTATGGCAAAATAATAACTACCTTAGACTATTATGATTAGATGTATATGAAGATGTTTAAGGCAAAGCCTGGCACATAGTACATGCTCAGTAGATGCCAACAGTATCACTTCCTCCATTAGATTGGTTTATTTTTGAGCAGGCTCAGTATTTTAACCTTAGCCCCCTACAGGTAAAAAGCTCTATAACAATTACTATTTCTCTGAAGAGAAATGCATTATTTATGATGCTTGTAGAGGACCAGATACAGTTAAATGTAAATGTGAAATTGATGAATTCTGAGTATAGTTGCTTAGTTACTCTGGGCAATACCCCCTGAGATAAGAGGCATTTGTGTTCTTTGAAAAACAAGTTGAATTGAATTGTCAGATGTCACAAATGATTTATCAATATTAAAAACTGTTAATAAATTTATTTGTGTAACATATGTGTAAGATTTATCACTATGTGGCTGCAAAGAAGAATGAAGTTCCATATTTGCTAGTATGGAATCATACTCAAAATACACTGTTAAGTGAAAAAAGTGTAATATGGAACAGCACATGGAATATGTTCTCATTTGTACAAAAAAGAGATAATGTATACATAGATAAGTACACATAGGCATATGCATAAACTTTTGGGGAAAATACAAAAACTTAGAAATAGTCACTTCTGGAAGGGCAGTGAGTAAGTTTTCATTATATACTAATGTGGATTGTAGGATCTTTTCTGTCGCTTTCATGTATTATTGTTTTAGCCAGAAATTGTTAATAAAATACATTTATATTTTACTGAGTAAAGTATTTCTCTTAGCTCCTGACAAATAAAAATTCCATTGTCATTATCACTACTCTGAAAAACAAAGACATATATGTGGCTTGGAAGTGATTAGACATAGTTACAATATATTTATAATTTACTTAATATTATTAGAAATTATCCTAACATTTCCACTGATAAGTAGAAACTTATACAGACACACGCATACACATAAAAATGTGTGGTTGCAGAGATCAAACACTATCAGTCTCTATTACTGGCACATATATTTTTCTCTAAGCTCTTTTACAGGAGGCATTTTCCTAAATTCAGCTTTTGGTCTTCTGTTTGTTCTTTGTTCCTTTATCATTCATTCTCATAACCCCAAAGAACATCTATATTCTGATAATTCATAAATAAATATTAAAGACCTTTTCTTTCTCTTTTTCTGCTGACTACTGACTTATAATCAGATTTATCTTTTCCTCTTTCCAAAAACTGTTATTATTGCATATGAAACCATTATTCTTTTTTTTTTATTTATTCATTTGAGAGAGAGAGAGTGAGCATGAGCAAGGGGAGGGGCAGGGGCAGAGGGAGAGAGAAGCAGGCTCCCTGCTGAGCTGGGAGCCCCGACACAGGGCTCAATCCCAGGCTGATTGAGCCACCCAGGCACCCCTGAAACCACTATTCTTAAAATATGTTCGCTTTAACTCACCTGTCATATCACTCTCTAAACCTAACTGGTGACCAAATTCAGTGGGTTTCCTCTTTCCATTCCTACAGGCAACCCTGTATTTCAGATCTTGACCATGTTAATGAACATTGTCACAAAAGCCTCCCAGCCGGAATCTGAAATTTAAGATTTCAGTGCCTGTTCAAACCCATAAACTCCTTTTTGGTAAATTTTACTAAAAGCATTGCTTTCTTTCACCTTAATATTTTCTCAAAATTCTTCTGTAGTTCCCTATTTCCAAATACCTCTAAAATGCTTTCAATTTTTTCTCTAAGTTGATCTCACTCTAGCAAACCTTACAAATTCTAAAACCTTTACTCAATATCCTTTTCAAAAGCCAAGTCATTCTTCAAAGCCTATCTAAAGCTTATTTTTCCATGAAGCTTTGCAAGAATATTTTAGCAATTGACTATCTTACTAGCCTGTAAATTAGTATATTATTTAAACTCTGACCCATATAACTCAGCACTTAAGTGTTATATTTTTTAAACTTAAGTCATAATTATCTCCCTCATCCAACTAGATTTTATGTGATTTGACATTAGAGATCAGTTTCATACTTCATCTGTATTCTCAATAAGTCCTTGTAGTACTAAGACTATAGAAGCATCCAATAAATATTTGTTGATTAACTAACAACACAGGTAACTTGTCTGTCCCAGCAACTCTGGAAATAAAGTGCCTCATTGACTGTTATTTCATATTAATTTATCCCATCTTTAAATATGAAACTAAAGAATTTAAAGCAAATTAATACAGTTGTAATAAAACAATTTATAGATCTTCATAGTTACAAAGTGTGCTCATTTTGGCCTTCCAATAGTCATGTGGCATTAATATTATTATTCTCTTTCTAAAAATGATAAATCTAACTCATAAAAGTAAAATGATTTACCCAAGGTCACCCAGATAGTGAATGACAGAGCTAAATCATAAAACCAAATACTGTGCCTCCAAGTCTAGTATTCTTTCTCTTATATATGTTCCCTCTTGAAATTGTAGTTTTATATATATATGTACATACACATATACATACTATGTTGTTTTAATCATAACTCATATTTTGCTTTTTATGTTTCACCCCTCTCAGTTTTTAGATTACTAAAATATTTCATTATTATTAGATTTCATTATACAGTTTGCACATAAGTTTAGTTTTTATGTTTACAAAAAGTCCTTATATTCAGGATGCATCTCTCCTCCCAAAAGCCCTTCTAAATTATTCTCAAAATTGAAATAAATCACTAACCACACATCAGCAATCCTAGAATAATCAGAGGTGCTGCAGTTGCATCTGAAGCAAAGCCAGATGTGAAACAGATGCACTACCACCAGAGTTATAGATCACTGATATCAGGTAAGTGCTTTAACTTTGATTAGTGTTGGAATGGGATGGGTGGAGCTGGTCTAGGAGAGGCTATTAGGAGACCTCAGTTTCCCCAAGTGATTTCACCCTGGACCCCTATCAGACCCTCCCAGCTCAGCTTCCACCATCCTTATCAAAGTTTAAAGCACTTACCTGATATAAGAACCTGAAACTCCAGCACTGCTGTACTACATCTGTCTTACTTCCAGTTTGTCAAGTAGGTACAGTTGCGGAACCTGCTCCAGCACCTGTAGCTCACAGTGTTGTACCACAGTGGATGTCAGCTGCCAAAACTAAAAATATTTAAGCTTAATTTTATTAGGAACTTACTTCAAAAATGATTTTCAACATTAATAGTTTCATTTTTTTTTTCACTTACCATTTGGATAGGGTGTTTCACATAAAGTAAGAAATTCAACAATAGGATGATCCATTTCAAGCACTGTAATTGCTTTTCCATGCATGATGGTTAAACTTGGTCTTCTGCAAGCTTTGTCATAGGACAATCCACCAGAAAATATTATGAATGGTTCACTACATAGAAAAAAAAGTTAATGAGATTGAGAAATCCTTTAAGATGATACAATATCATAGGACTGAGCTAATGAAGAATAAGTTTGGTAGGGATTATACACAACATAATTTGACAGCAAATATCTTTCTTAGTGCAAAACATCTCACCCAAATGACACTATTCTACCATTTCCCTTTTTCTGATTGTGAATTTTTACCATTAAAATCACTAATGAATCAGTCTAAAGGTGATGAGGTGTGTTGGGGAAAAGGTAGAGAAGTTGGAGGGAAATAGAGGTGCTCATTGAGTCAAAAGGACATCTCCACATGTATTAGTTGATTCCCAAAACTCTATATCACTACCATTAGAATATTAAGCTATGCTAGTTTATCATATTAACCATTTGGCATGTGGGGTCCAAAATTCCTAAGGGATAAAAGAGGCAAATTTCAATATAAAATTAAATGCAACAATAGCAAGCCCAGAGTGGTAGAACGTAACATGAAAATTCTATGTAATGGAGTTTCTGTGGGAAAGGGTTATGATAAAAAGATGGAGAAAACTAAGACAAAAAATGTGATCTTCCCAATTTTATCTTGGGTCAGCCAGTTCTATTTAGCTACTAAAATGAACATCAAACTTTTTAGGCCCTGTTAGTTGCAAGATACAATTAGATAAATTGAGTGGGGCTGAGATGACTATAAAATATTACAGCTGTCAGAAAGTTATGAAATACTGTCATAACTTTTCACTTTTCTCAAATTAATACCTGTATCCTTAGTTTATGTATATAAAAGAAAATATGCTGATGAAGTATATTTAATAAGTAAATACCAAACTGAAAGTATTCTCCAAAAATTTTTTTTTAAAAAGAACTAGACACTTATTTTACCAAATTCTTTGAGAACATATGCTTCTCTAAATAATTCATTTCCAGCTATTCACTAAAGAATCTACTAGTTTCTAAAAATCACTTTATAAATTTCCCTTTCTCTTTCATTTTGTACTGTACAGGGTACCAAACATTACCAATGGGACATTTGCTAATCTTAGGCTGCCTATATAACAAGAACAAAAAAGAGCTTTTTAAAAAGTTTCCATTAAAACTTACATATAAAGTATCTATACTGATTTTTTTTAAAGATTTTATTTATTTATTGGACAGAGAGAGACACAGAGAGAGGGAACAGAAGCAGCGGAGAAGGAGAGGGAGAAGCAGGCCTCCCGCTGAGCAGAGAGCCCAATGTGGGGCTCGATCCCAGGACCCTGAGATCATGACCTGAGCCGAAGGCAGACGCTTAACGACTGAGCCACCCAGGCACCCCTATACTGATTTTTATTTATAATTCTGTCTTAATGTTTTAACATAAATATTTGAGTTGTAAGCTAAATAAGAAAAAATAATCTAATTTATTTTCCTTGAGTCCTATATCAGTTGATGTTAGTCTTGCTTCAGTAATTTGGCATACTAAATTACCAACCTAGTAATGGTGGTACTAAGCAGCAAGTTTTTTCCTATAAAATAAATGCTTATATTATTAAGATTTTTCCAGATTTAAAAGTTGTTTTTAATGAAATGACTAAGTGTTTTTGCACCTTTTTGTGTTGCTTTGTTTTACAACAAATGTCATGATTTAGAGAACATATTATCTTTTCATACATATTGAATTTAGCTATCTGCTCCAAATGTTAATAAGGCCATAAATATCTATTTTTTTCCATGTAAAAGGGAGTGAAGTTAATCTCATCTCCTAGTGCTAATCCAAATATAGGGTAAGAAGCAATTTACTCTCCCCTTTTTTGGTAAGCACATTGGAAAATATGTCCTTTCTAATATTGGAAGAAAGCAAAAGCTTTTCTGCTTTTATTATGACTCCGCATCAGACACTGGATCTGAAGTTAATTGCTGATATATATGCACTTCTCTGTAAACTATCGAATGACTGAACAAAAAGTTAATTCCTCAGGAAATGCTTAGGAAACCACTCATGAATAAATATCATTATCACATTAAATTCTCATAAGTATAATCCTCATTTTATTAATGAGGTTAAGTAACAACTAAGCAGAAAAACCCAAAAGAAAACAGATCTGTCAGATTTCAAAGTCTATTCTCCTAAACAGTGATCTATACTGCCTGTAGCAGATGACTCTGGGATTAATACAGGTGAACTTGTTTAGAGTCAAGCCGCTATGGAGTGGAAGGAAGGATAAAGATTCAAATCCAGACTCCAAAGTACGTTTTTCACTTCTAGTCTAATGTTTCTAAAACTGTGGAATATAACTTAAAAAGTGTTCTGAAAAAAAGTTTTTTTTAAAAAAGATTTTATTTATTTATTTGACAGAGAGAGAGCACAAGCAGGGGGAGAAGAAGGAGAAGCAGGCTCCCTGCTTAGGACCCTGGAGTCATGACCTGAACTGAAGGCAAACACAACCGACTGAGCCACCCAGGCGTCCCTGAAAAATAGTTTTTAATTTAAAATTTGATAGACACTTGCATACCATATCTCCCTTTTGAAATTTTATAATTCAGGCCATATAGCAAAGATTCTAAGAAACTGTACAGTAAAGAATCCAATTAACTTTTATATAACCCAGAATTTCTTAGATCTCTCAAATGTATTTGATTACAGATTCCTATTTTTCCATGAATACAGTTAGTGATCAAAGGAACACAATTTGATAAATGTTATACCACACTAAACTGACTCCTTTACTGTTTACTACAAGTGTATCCTGGCATACTAATCAGATGGATTATTACAAAAGAAATAAATAACTATATAATTAACAATGTCTTCATACATAAAGAAAACATCAATACAAATTAAAAATTAGTTTTTAAAGATTTTAGTTGTTTATTTATTTGACAGAGAGAGCCAGAGAGCACAAGTGGGGGGAATGTCAGAGGGAGAAGGAGAAGCAGGCGCCCCGCTTAGCAGGAAACCCAATACAGGACTTGATCCCAGGACCCTAAGATCATGACCTAAGCTGAAGGCTTAACCAACTGAGCCACCCAGGCACCCCCAAATCAAAAATTATTGACAACAACTTGGATAAATCCTAAAGGCATTATGTTGAGTGAAAGAAGCTAGGATCAGAAGGTTACATAATATATAACTGCATTTATATGACATCTTAAAAAGGCAAAACTACAGTGATAGAGAACAGATCAATGGTTGTCAGGGGTTAGAAGTGGAGAAAAGTGCAACTACAGGGAACAGAAGGAAAGGAATTTGGGGGTATGGAAATGTTCTGTGTTCTTATTGTGGTGGTGATTTCAGGCATCTATACATGTGTTAAAATCCACAGTATTGTACAGCAAAAGAAAAAATATTTTACTGTATAATTTGTAAAATAAATATAGAAAAAGCATTAAATTTTTTTCTTAATGAAGGCAACAAGATTAAGCAATAAACTGTGCAACATAATATAGTACATACTAAAATAACATTTGTTGAGTATTTATGATGTTCTGGGTATTGTGTGAAGAAGTTTACTTGCATTATTGTATTGAATCCTTATGATATCCCAATGAGAAAACTACTACTATTCTCACTTAACAGATGGATATGCTGAGGCTTAGAGAACGTTACACATGAAGTCTATCAATAGGTGGCCATGATAGAAAGGGATTAAAAGACTAGCAAAAAGTAATTTTTTATTAATCACAGAAACTTGATAATGTTAGTGGTAGCAGGTAGAGAGATCATTATTCCTTTTTCTGAATAGAATAAATTTATTAAGCCTAGAGGCCATTGGTGTTGGGGCACCAATAAGCAATTTGGTGATTGGAGACCAATGATTCCTAAGCAGAATGGTTGTTTATCCCTAGAAATATAAAGCCAGTTTGTGAATGGTTGATCTAAGATAAATTAAACAGAAAACATACCCTTTCATCCGCTACCTATGCAATCTTTAAGAGACCCTATTGCTGCAGCATATTTGGTAGAACTCTTCTTAAAGTTCTTGCTCCTGCCACAGCCATCCCAATTTTTGATTTCACAAAGTTTCTACTGTGTACTAGATGGAGCAGAAACATAGCTATTTATTGTCACTTCCAGGCTATGGCCCATTTTGCTGTCACAATACCTTTTAGTACTCAACTTTGGTGTTCCTCTGCTCTTTAGTCTCCTTGTGTTCTGAGAGGGGGAACCACTGCTTTTAAAGGTGAATTTTCTAATATAGTAATAATCACAACAAACACACACAATGTACTAAAGTGCACTGTAAGTGGGATGACAGTAATTATGATCAATAATATATAATTATTTCACATTAGAAATCTGAAGAATTATTTCTATACAAAATTGGGTTACCAATTACTAGAATAAATCATTAAATTAGGATCAGTGGAATAATTTCAATAATGTGAAATATCATTGCTTTGATGATGACAATAATAACTTCTTTTTATCAAGGAATCTACTATGTGCCACTCATCAAACTTATGACATTACAAACTTCATGCATAATTTCATTTATTCTTCAGAAACATCACAATGAGATAGGTATAATTGATGAGGAAATTAAAGTTTAAAAGCGTTAATTAAAAATTTCAAGGTTACATAGCTGTCTTACCCCATATGCCACGGATCTTAATAATTATTTTACATTGCCTTGACTTGAATTCCTGATTCCTAAAGTATGTTCTCTTCACCTTCACCCTTTCCTTACTTTGTGTGCCACCATCCTATTATCCCTTAAGCCCATCTCAGGTATCCTCTTTCCCAAGAAGAAATTTACTGATCTCTCTTCACCATTCTCTTCCCCTTTCTCTCTAGGCTGGGTTAGGTGTCCTTTTGTTGTGTTCTCATAGCATATCTCTATAAAAGCACCTCACATGTTACATGGAAACCACTAGTTTATGGCCTTACTTCTACTAGACCATAACAGATTCAAAAGCAGGCAGTATTTTCTTTCATTTTAGTACACCAAACAAGTTGCACAGTGTGTCCTAAGTAGTAATAACTAATAATATGTGTACATAATAACAATATATGTATATATGTAAAATATTTCCATATATAAACATATATAATAACATATGTAAAATGTTTCCATCCATAATAATTAAATTTAAAATGTTTTGATACTTTAATTATAGTAGTATAAAACTGGTCATTGTTACTACTTATGTTTAGTAACATTCGGCTGGACTAAGGAGGTACTGATCTATTGTGTTTATGTCCACACACATATATGTATATATATAAACTAATGTAAAAATATATACATAAAAATATATCTATATATATAAATATATACCATATGATAGTTTATATATATATGAACTAACACATTAAAAATGGCCATAATTTTATACTATTAAATCTTTCAAAGAGCAGGTGTAAACAAACATTAAATGCATCTATAATACTGAGAATACATTCCAGTGTGAATATGTAAGTAATATAAAGTAGAATTATCCAATTTAGAGTTAAAATAAAATTAAGGTTTAGGCAAGATTTGTAATTATGGTAATTCTGGAAGAGAATATTGCCACTAATAATTATTGTAAGTAAAAAGAACATTCTTGATTTATAGGATAAAGCTGCTATATATACATGATAAAATTTTATTGTATATTATTCAATTTAATTTTCTATATCTTAAAATTTAGTACTATTTTATTATGCTAATATATATAACTGTTTATCTTTTCAACTAACTATAATCTTTCCAAGTTCAGAATGTGAAATCCTAAAGTACAGAGACTTGGTTATGTATTTAATTCTTTCATGTGCAATACACCAATAGGTATGCTTCTGCTTAATAATACTAAATGATTGCTACTTGTAATGTGCACGGCCCAAAAGTTCGACATTGTTAAAATTAATGTACATAATACTTATCTGAATATTCATAAAAAGTTAAAATAATTAGCAATTGCTATTATAATATTCATAATATCATAGATACTCCTATTAAACAATAACAAAGTGTTATTATCAACGAAGAGGATTTAGCCAATTAATATACTTATATAATTATAAGAAACTTTAAGTAATACATGATTATTAAAGGTTATTTGCCATTCTTGTCTGTTTCTTATATATTGTCCCATATCACCCAAAGTAAAAAATGCATACCTGTTTCTACAGGTCTTGTATTCTACTTTAAGAATTGGTTTACAAGATTCAGATTTTCTTCCCTCTCTTTGACTTTTTCCTAAAGAAAGAAAAAGGATTTTGTTAAATCATATTTAAAGTCTACACATCCATGACAACTTCAAAAGTCTGACCAGAAGAATACAAAGAAAAAATAAGGTAATTACGTGTTTTTCATAATAGGATAAATACAATTCTATGCATCCTAACATATTTGTTGAATCCTAATAAATGACTGCTATATAAGCAATGAAGTTATTTGTAAACTTATCATATTTGTAAACTTATCAAACAAACTTTCTCCATGTATAAATCTAGTCTCATATAAAGTTATTTTAATTATTTAAGTTTTAAGATTACTTTAGAATTAAAGACACATACACATGCATACTTATCTGCATAATGAAATACATAATTATGAAAATCCATACTAGGCCCATTATAGATTTTATCTATGATACAAGCAAACCCTTTTCGCATGCAGAAAGACTTGCCATTTAAAACTTATGATAGACTATCAAAATCATTGCATTTTCATCAAATTCATTTAACAGAAAGCCCATTAGACAATGAACAAAGATGGTATATTTCAATGAAGTTCTATATGTGCATAAAAATAGTTTCTTGTAGAGAAAGGTTATGTTGTTTAGACTCCACAGATTTTGAAAAATGATCAAAAAGAGTAGGAAATGGAAGTAAAGCTACTTATGCATATAACGTCTTTCAGTTGTGATTTTGCTTATAATTCTATGTCTCATTTTGATAAAACTGACATTTTTGTGATGTTTGTTTCTTTATTTTAATAAGTACCCTTATTTATTCTTCTATTGCCACAACTGTTTATAGACACAGATACCTATTATGTAGATAGACGTTTATGTGCATTTAAGTTTAAATTTTCAGGATAGCTTCAGAATGGTACAGTCATAATCCAAATAGGATGTCAAAATAATTTTATTTAATTTGTTTAAAGGGCAGGGTATCAGCATATAACATACCTTATCTGCTCCATGGCATGCTTTCTGAATTTGCTTTCTCTTTCTTTTACCCTATGTCAACTAAAGAAGCAATCAATAATACAATATTGGTCATAATCATTCACACTGTAAAAAAGATTTAAAAGTATCTGTATTACATATAAAAAGGAATTACTGACATTATATGTATCATGATACCTTACAAAGAGAGAACTTTGGCTCAGGAACTCACTCTGAGCAGTGGTCTTAGGGGTAAGAAACAGCTGGTTGGTGATTCCTGGTTTGGATAACATGTGGGAACAGAGAAAACTGAAGAAAAAAACAGCAAGGAAAGAGACCCATTTTCCTCAGTTGATATATTTTTGATCCATTTCTTCTCTAATAATTGCCAAGCTATTAATCAAATCAAGACAGTATATTTGCTATTGTTTATATATATGGTGTGTGTGTAACCAATTACAATTTTTCAATCAGTACACGTTAGTATTATACACTAATTTCAGTAAAGAGGAATAATACCTAAATTAATTAATTAATGATTTACTTCAATTTCCAACTCCAATAATTAATTTTTGGCTGAAGGTTTTCAACTTTGATTATGTTCATTGCCTGTCAATAATTGAAATATGTTTATATGTTATGTAAAAAATTGTTATAAAAATTGCATTTATTGCTACTCTTTATGTTCAAAGTACTATACTAAATGGCACGGAAAAAAGAAGTAACTGACCACCAGGAAACTTAAAATTTACTAGTTTAAGCAAAGCATATATAAAACTGACACTATGAGGTACCATAAACAAATAAGTGATAGACTTGAAGTGTTGAGAATATAGGAATACATGAAGTAGGAGTTAAGAATATTATGGTTTCACTTTATGACAGAAAAATTTACAGATTTTTGCAGATGATTTTCTAGAAGCTAGATTAAGCATTAAAAGAGAACTTGGGAGTTCTGGTCCAAGATGGTGACATAGGAAGACCCTGAACTCACCCCCTCCATAGACACACCAAATCTACACCTACTAATAGAGCAATTCCTCCTGAAGAAGAACTGAGAGCCCATTGAACAGCTTCTGCACAACAAAAGATAGAGACCACAAAGAGACAGCACAAGAGAGGGAGACACAGTAACAAAGGGAAACTCTAACCCCAACACTGTGAACTACAGTGGGGAGGGACAGGACTAAGGGACCATGAGCAGACTCACCTGTACTGGGGCATAGAAAAAAGTCAAGGTTTAAAAGAACAACTAGAATATAATGGAACCAGCCAAATGGGAGGGGCTGAAAGGCTCTTAAGCCTGGCAGGACTGGCAAGCACCACTGTTTATGATCCCCCCTCCACCTTGAAAATGAAGATGGGAGCAGGGTCCAGGTGCCATAGTTGGCCTCCCACCTCAGCAAGCCTTGGGCCCCTAGCCCATGACAGCCCTTGATGGCCTGGGTCACAGAAAAAAAGCCACAGTTTAAAGAGCAATTACCATATAAAAGGTCAACCCCTAGAACTTCACCAAATGGCGAGGAAGCTGCTGAAACTTTCTCCAGCCTGGCAAGCACCATGATTTACATTCCCCTCTCCTCCTTGATAGCATGAACAAGAGCCAGTATCCAGTCACCTTAGCTAGCCCACCACCTCAATATCCCTGGGCCCTAGCTCACACCAGCCCCAGCCATCCTACCAAGACAGCCCCAGTGCAGTGCACACCGGAACACTCCTTGTCAGTGCTCACTACAGCTCAAGCCCTTTTGCCAAAGTGACACATGTGCAAAGCACTCCAGAATACTCCAGGCCCATATAATGTTGACTCCAGACAATTCACCAGGCACCCCTTGCATGGAGCACTCCAGAAACCCCTGGTCCATGCCCACTTTGGCTCCAGCTTCTCCACTAGGGCTTCCTCTGCATGGAGCACACTGGGAACCCGTGGGTCACACTCTGCCTCAGTTCCAGCCTCCCCACCAGGGTTCCCCCTGTGTCAATCACTCTGGGACACCCCAACTTGCACTAACTTCAGTTTTAGCCATGCTGCCAGGGCACCTTATATGTGGAGAGCCCAAGGATGCCCCCACCCCAACGCTGCCTGGCACCCACTTCAGGTTTAACTATCCTGCTTGGGTGTTCTCTGTGTGGAGAGCCCCAAGACATCCCAGCTTGTACCCACTTTGGTTTCAGCCACCCTGCCAGGGTACACTCTGTGTAGAGTCCCAGGATTCCAGCCCCCCAACACAGCTTACACCTACTTCAGCTGTCCTGGCAGGGCACTCTCTGTATGGAGACCTAGGACCACCCCGGCCCATACCCATTTCACCCATACCACCAGATTTTCCAGCACAGAGTGCCCCATGACCCATAGTACACAACAGCCACCGCTCCAAATAACTAACCGAAGTCACCAGGCACATACAGTCTACACAGGGGATGACAATACACAAGATCATTCCTTCAAATTTAGAAGAAGTAGCTGTTGCACCTAACTCACAGAAACAAAGAAAGTCAAGTAAAATAAGGAGACAGAAGAATATGTTCCAAATGAAAGAACAAGACAAAGCCTCAGAAAAAGAACTAAGTGAAACAAAGATAAGCATCCTATCTGATAGAGTTCAAAAGTAATGGTCATAAAGATGCTCAGTGGACTGGAGAAAAGAGAGGATGAACTCAGTGAGAACTTTAACATGAGATTAAATATATAAAAAACCATCATTAGCATTGAAGAATACCATAACTGAAATGGAAAATCCACTAGAGGGAATCAACAGCAGATTAGAAGGTGCAGAAGTGATCTGAAAGACAGGGTAATGGAAAACACCCAACCTGAGCAGCAAAAAAGAAAAAAATAATTGTAAAAAATGAGCATAGGTTAAGGAATACCTTGGACAACATTAAGCAAAAAAACATTCTCATTATAGGCATCTCAGAAGGAGAAGAGAGAGAAAAGGGCACAAAAGTTATTTGAAAAAAGTTAATAGCTGAAAACTTCAATAACCTGGGGAAGGAAACAGACATCCAGCCTCAGAAAACAGAGTTACAAACAAGATTAATCTAAGGAGGTCCACACCATGACACATAATAATTAAATATGTACAAGATTAAAGATAAAGACCTAAATGTGAGACAGGAAACCATCAAAATCCTAGAGGAGAACACAGGCAGCAACCTCTTTGGCCTCAACTGAAGCAACTTCTTACTAGGGAGGCCAGGGAAACAAAAGCAAAAATGAACTATTGGGGCTTCATCAAGATAAAAAGATTCTGCACAGTGAAGGAAACAATCAACAAAACTAAAAGACAACCTGTGGAATGGGAGAAGATATTTGCAAATGACATATCAGATAAAGGGCTAGTATCCAAAATTTATAAAGAAATTATCAAACTCAACACCCAAAAAACAAATAATCCAGTTAAGAAATTGGCAGAAGACATGAATAGACATTTTCCAAAGAAAACATCCAGATGGCTAACACATGAAAAGATGCTCAACATCACTTATCATCAGGGAAATGCCAATCAAAACCACAGTGAGATACCACCTCACACCTGTCAGAATGACTAAAATTAACAACACAGGAAATAAGAGAATCCTCCTACACTGTTGGTGGTAATACAAACTGGTGCAGCCACTGCAAACAATAATATGGCAGTTCCTCAAAAAGTTAAAAATGAACTACTCTATGACCCTATGACCTATTATGTATTCACCCAAAGGATACAAAAGTACTGATTCAAAGGGACATATGCACCCTGATGTTTATAGCGGCATTATCAACAATAGCCAAATTATGGAAAGAACCCAAGTTTCATTGACCGGTGGATAAAGAAGATATGGTATGTGTGTATACACACACACACACACACACGTGCGCGCGTGCAATGGAATATTACTCAGCCATCACAAAGAATGAAATCTTGCCATTTGCAATGACTTGGATGGAGCTAGAATGTATTATGCTAAGCAAAAGAAGTCAGAGAAAGACAACATATGATTTCACTCATATGTGTATTTTAAGAAACAAAACAGATGAACATAGGGGAAAAAAGAGAGGGGGAGGCAAACCATAAGACTCTTAACTATAGAAAACAAACTG